TAATAATCTTCTGTAGAATTTTTTTGAATTTGCAAATGTCTCAATTCAATGTCCGGGTCCTGAATGAAAATCTCCAGTTGCACTGGCATGTGTATTTTTAAAATTTAGTTATATACAAAGATAAATAAAACCTTATAGGTTATTCTTATAAGTATCTAAGATTAAGAGTCACGGATGTAGATATATATATATATACACAGATGGTCTTATTGTGTCTATTCGGTGACTTTAGTTTTACTGGTTTTATTGAACTCTCTTTTGAAGTTGATTATTTTTCCAGTGCTATAAGAACATTATTTTGGAGTACTGTAAGAAAATTGAATGGTGGAAGTGTTTAAAGCCAAATGTTTACTAAATGAAGAAATCTAATTAGGGGAAAAGAGTATCAAATAGTACTCTATTCTGTGATTTAAACAATATGCATATTTATGAGTTAAAAGTACACACATGTTTCAAGAAAAAAGAGTTTCTTTTTTGCAGATTCAATTGAGGTCCTGTCTTAGAACATTGGTGTTAGTATTTCTTGATAGAAACTTTCCTGACTCGCTGCCTAATTTAGGTAAAAATAGGTATCATGTAATCAGTATATGACATGCACTGTTGCTGAATTAAATAATATAAAATTATGCCAATAGACACCTGGGCTCTATTATACCACATTTTCCCCCTTTGGCATTTGAAACACATGTCCTAATAGGGGTGGAGTTCATACTCATGCATTTTCACAAGTGAACTTTAGCATGACACCAAGAGTCACTGCCAAGTGAAGATGGAATAAATCCACAGGGCCTGCAGTACAATCGCCTTCATTTCTCCCTCTGAACCTCTCACCCAGATGAGCTCACCTACACAATGACAATGTATAATGACTTTCTTACTTTCTTTTACTTCTCGCAACACCTTTTTTCTAAAAAAAATGTTATTCTTTTGTGTGGAAGGAGAATTTATAGCCAACGGAGTACTCCCAAAGAAGCTGCAAATAAAAAAACTGCCTCCATATGTTAAAAATGAAAAATTAAAACAAAAGTTCTTCTTTACTTCATGGAAGGAAACAAAAACAGATGCAACTGAGGTGTCATCATGTGTTTTCATTTTTCATACTTCAGTTTTTTCCTAAAATTCTCACAAAAACTCCACTGTGTTTGAGTGACCACCCTGACTTGTATCTATATTCCTAGTTATTGCTATGTTCTAAGGCAGGGGTGGGCAAACTTTTTGACTCGAGGGCCACAATGGGTTCTTAAACTGGACCGGAGGGCTGGAACGAAAGCATGGATGGAGTGTTTGTGTGAACTAATATAAATTCAAAGTAAACATCATTACATAAAAGGGTACGGTCTTTTTTTTCAATAGTTTTATTCATTTCAAACGGCCGGATCCGGCCCGGAGGCCGTAGTTTGCCCACGGCTGTTCTAAGGTAAAGTTGAGAGAGAAAAAAAATGTGGACTCTTCTAAGTCTTCATCTAGAACTCCCCATAGTATTTCCATTTCACCTTTGTGATTTTTTTATTCTCCTGTTAGGTATTTAATAGACAGATTCGTTTCTCAAAGAAGGCATCAGAACTCATACTTAAGTCTTTTGGAACTGGATTAGAGAAATTCTGACAAGAATCCTTGGACTAGTAATGATACCATTATAAATAACCCACTTATGAATTTACTGGAAAGGAGCAAAGGGAAGGCCAAAGTTTATAGGCATGCCATTTGTGCAACTTTACCAGGAAGCTGCAAAGCCACTAGTGTGTTCCTGGAAGATCGCTGGGAGAAGAGACTGGATAGTAGGTACACACCAAGTAAGGTCTGGATGATACAGGGAGCAGATCAATGGCCAGAGTAGGTTTGGCCAATGCAAGTGTGGAAAGATTTAAGATACATAAGCTCCTAAACCAAGTTCTCTCTCTTGAATGCTGGGCTCCTGGCTCTCTTGCTGTAGGGGCTGTGCCCCCTGTATTTGCCCACATGACTCAGGGCCATGTGGACCCCACACAATGGACTGATGGATTAGAACTAGCCTGATGCTGTGTAGAACCCAACTCTATATGGAACAGAAACTCTGGACTCTGGCTTTGCTTTTAGCTCTGCTGAATCCCCAGCTGCACCTCTTCCAGGACAAGTTTAAGGAAAATGGGACTTTGCAAACCAAGGGATTTAATTCCACGAAAATAAAGCTTTCTACCACACCTCATCTTCCCGGGGGGATCTCCAGAAATGCTTATTCCAGTGGTACCCAAAGAACCCCACGCCCACAAGCAACGGAGAAAGGCCATCCACACATTTCTCCACTAATAGTGAGTGCAGAGCTTAACTGCTATCACACTGGTTAATTCCAGGCAGGGCAAAGAACAAAATATGGCACACACATGCATCAAGGATTTTAAACTCCCTATAAGGTTCAGTAATAAAAATGGACTTATTAAATATTCATTTAGTATCATATTTTTAAAAGGTTAATTACTTAAAGTCTGCATCTTAATAGCTAAAATACTCAATTGCAAATTTAATTTAATTCTTAAATTTAATTTCATCTTGACATAATATCAGTTTACCTTTACGAGAGTTTACATCATCACAGACATGCAAAAAGAAGAATTTTAAATTGCAAATGAAAGTATGGAAAGCAAAATTTAAGAGAAAATAATATCTTAAAGGGAAATATACAATCTATAATAATAAAAGCATAATATGCTAATTAGACTGGATGTCCTTTCAGACGTCCATCCTTCCAGACAAAGCCACAGCAGGTGGGGCCGAGGCAAAGGCAGCAGAGGCCCCTGAGCCATGGTGACAGTGGGCGGGGGCTGCAGTGGGGGGCTGGGGCCAAGGCCCTTGCACGAATTTCGTTCACTGGGCCTCTAGTAATGTAATAATATATAAGAAGAAATACATTAGACATTGATCCTATTATTTGAAATATCAAATATCTGTCAGATCTTTCAACCTGGCAATAATTTTATTAGGCCCAGGATTGAGTTTTACATCTAAATGCCAAATGAATAGTAAAGAAAATTTATACATATGTTGTATTATGCTATTGTGGGCTCTTGTACATCATTAATAAACAATATACTTTAGACCACAGCTGTTTAATAGAAATGTCCATGATGATGAAAATGTCTTATATCAGTGCTATCCAATAAGGTAGCCCCCTAGCCCACCTGATTATTGAGCACTTTATATATGACCAGTGTGACTAAGAAACCGAATTTCAAATTTATTTAATTTTAATTAATTTCACATGTGGCTAGTGTCTACCATATTGGTTAGTGCAGCTATAGAGTAATTAGGCTGTGTCATTAACTGTGTTAGGTCCAGTGCTCAGGAAAAAACTGAGCTTTTGGTAGACCCATAACTGCTACCAAAATAGGAGTCAAGCTTCCAAATTCAGGAGACCTGATATGCCGCTCTTGTCAGAAGTTGGTATTGTAATGGAAGGATGGGTCTGGTACTTAGGAGACCTGGACATATCCTTTCTTCATGCTGAGTCTCCATTTGTGGAGCATGAGGTTGAATAAGGTAATGTCTGAGATAACATTCATTCCCAATAATCAGCACAGCTCCTCGAACACTCACTGCGCTTTGTCCCCACCACTCCTGACACTAGCTGATGAGCCCACTGACCTGTCTTTGGACCCTAGGCTGACTACAACTGAAAAATGGCCACTTCTCAGAACTGAGGACAGAAACACTCTGAAGGAAGTAAAGGTCCTTAGCAAAAGATTAGATAAAGGGTGAAGGAGAGGAAGGAATCAAAGATAATTTCAAGGTAACTGGGTGGATGAAATTAAGAAAGTTAAGGCAGCTAAAAATCAGGAAACTAGAAGTGAAGGATAGGTTATAAAGGGAAAACATGATAATTTTAAAGTTAGACTCATAAAATTTTAGATTTTAGACACAATAGTCTTTTATATACCTATTTCTACATCTCTATCTATCTACCTATCTATATATATATGAGGAAACTCAAAGGATCACTAAACAACTTGTAAAAGTTTCAAAGCACTTTTGTAGTATAATCAAGGCTAAGGCTTAGATATCTTTACTCCCATATTAAACAACCATTTCTTCTAATCTGAGATGAAAATATAAGATATCCAAATACATGTTTTTAAGGGCACTCAGTTCTAAGAAAAGTCTGGAAATATAGTTTTAGGAAACACTAGAACACAAGAAACAATTTCACAGAATTCAGCACCCTGTGAATACTTTTATTATTCCAAATTTTCAGACAAAGAAAGATTTGACCATGGCCACACATAAGTGATGGTAAGTATTTAAACCTAGGCAACTAAATTACACATAAACAGAGCTATAATTTTTATCTAAACTGAGGCACATTTGAGAATTAAAGAACATATTAAAACTGGAAACATCCAGGGAAATCAGGTCATATGGCACTCTTGTCACTAACCACTAAGCAATCTGCCATAAATGCTCTAGAACCATAAATGTTCTCCCTCAGTCTTAATCATTTGCCTGCATTCAATCCACTGAGAACTTCTGCTGTATATATTTTCTCCTACCTATAATTTCTTCCTTTCTGATGACTTCAATTGCAATTTTTCCCCAGCATCCAAAATGTTATCCTGAAATCTCCCTCAAATTCTTCTATTCCCAAACAAATATCTTCAATTTCTAATATTTATTCCTGTATATTCTCATGTCCACCTCCACTGCTACTACCTTTGTTCTTATTCCATCCTTATTTTTTGCTCTTGTGCGATGGTCTCTTATCTTTCTCTGTCCTCATTCTCCTTTAGTCTTCCCCTCATGCTATTGTCAGTTACCTTCATAAAAAACAAAGATCTGATCCTCTAATTAATATCAGGGAATGGGGCAGGGGGTCAAAAGGAACAACCTTCTAGTTAAAAATAAATGAGCTTTGGGGATGTAAAATATAGCATGGTGACTATAGTTAATAATATTGTACTACATATTTTAAAGTTGCTAAGAAAATACATCTTAAAGTTCCCATGACAAGAAAAACAAAATTGTTAACTATGTCTGGTGATGGATGTTGCTACATTTACTGTGGTGATCAATTTACAATATATACAAATATAGAATCATTATGCTCATTATGCTATATACTGCAACTAATATAATACTACTTGTCAACTATCCCTCAAAAAGATAAAATATAAATTAAAAGATAGATAACTTCTCATCGGTTTCTGGATATTTACAGCTTTCTAGTTTCATATCCCACTCTCTTCTTATGCCTCAGGCATTTATCATGCATGAGGTTAGCAACCCTCCTGTATAATCTTTTCAGGCCCAGTGTAAGGAATAGCGGGTATTATGCCATAGGCCCTCAAATGTTGTTTATTAAAAGAATGTTCAACCAACTCACTTGATCTTAGCCAAAAGGTCAAAAAGCGATAAAATGTTTAACCAACTCAAAGGTTTTCTACTTTTGCCATGCTCTCCACATGGCCCGAAGAACAAATCTGCTAGGCAAATAATAGTTGAATAATTATTTCCTATATTTATTGTTCTAGCAGTATTTAGACTTCTTTATGGATTTGTCACAGTTAAGGAAAAGAATGGAATAATCTTTTAAATGGCAATATAATGATATTTGCCATCCCAAGACTGGAAAATACAATCTACATTTCACTTTAAAGCCATAAGTATATCTTGTTACCAAGCAGATGACTAAATTTTCTTTTGGTAAAATCTATGGAGTTCCTCTCAATTAAGTATTTCCACAAAAAAATCACAAGGCTCAAGAAGATAGTCCTGCCTTGCATGAGAGTTAAGAAATCACTTAATTGGGGATATTCTAAATTTGTGTTACCTATTAATGGGTTCTATTTTGGTCAATGAAACTGACATTGTTGTGTAAACAAATGGATCTGGAAGTTTTGACTAAAGAAATGTTTTTCCCTTTTGTTTATATTGTCATTCCTTAAATGACATGGACAGATAGAGAGATAGCGCCTAGGAAGTCTCTACCCTGGCCTCCTCCACTAAAACCCAATATTTATGGTGGGAATGAGAAATGCTGCTTGCCTGCTTAAATAGCAATGTTATGTTATTCTGCTATGCAGTGGAATAAAGTCCTATGTTGATTAGAAAACATTAACGATAAACCCTGACTTGTTGCAAGGCAGTAGGAAAAAAAAATCCTTGCATTTTCCTTGAATTAAATAAATATATTTAGTCTTTGTTTTGTTGTTGCTTTTTCTTTTCTTTTCTTTCTTTTTTTTTTTTTTTTGGAGGAGTTTGTTTGTCTTATTGAAAACTTGGAATACTATATGACCCCCAAACAAAAAAGAAATCAAACTAATGTCAATATCAATATGCTTAAAATTTTGGAGGGAGATGTCTTATCCAAAACATAAATTATCTTTAAACAAAAGAAGTCAGCATTATAATCTAACCCCTTTCCAATTCGCTCATAGACAGAATTTGACTTAGTCATCAAAAGACTACAGGAGAAAGATTGCTATCTTGTAACCTAGCTCCGCAGCTTACAAGTTGTAAGATCTTGACCAAATTATTCAACTTCTCTCTATCTCATCCTTAAAAATTTGTAATAATTAAATATACCTCATAGGTCATTAAGAATATTAAAAAATCAATTAGAACATAGAAATGTCAAGGACAACAGCACATGCTCAATAAATGTCAGTTATTATTATTATTATATATATAACATGTATAACTTTGTGAGAATTTATTTCAAACTTATTTTAAAATGTTGAACTAAATTGCTGATCCCAAAACACATCTGAATGAATAATAATGACTTTCTTATCTTCCCAAAAGCAAGGCAAAACAATCAAAAGTGAGAAAATCACTAACCATTGAGCCAGTAGTGCTCTGAAATGTCAGTTCTGATGTAATGGTGGTCTTGAGTAGGCCCAAGGGACCGCGTGAATGCGGTATCTTTGCCAAGGAAATCAGAAGCTGTTCCAGAGTAGAGGTATTCATCTGGGTGGGAGAAAAGAACACATGAGACTTCTAAGAGTTTACCAGCAGTACTATTTACAATATACTAATTTCACAGCATGAAACCAAAGATGTTTATTGCTTAACATCAGAATATATTGAGGCTATAATTCATAAATTTCACATTCAGATTTGGAAAAATTTGCTTAAAGAAAAGATAACTCCATAAATGTTGGTAAGTTGATGCTTTAAGAACTGTACACGTATTGGCTCCTCTTACAAATTAGCTCTTCCGTCCTTCTCACAAATAATTCAATGGTGTATCATAATTAGGAGTTTCTCATTGTAACAACACAAAGAAATATTAAAAAGTAAATGCCATCATGAGGAATGGATTGCGTAATTAGTATTTACTTAACAGACACAACCTCAATGACCACAACTTTTCTTTGCCTAATCTCTGCTGAAAGGGAGCTTTCAGCACTGAAGTCATTCTTTGTAATTATAACATTTTACATTCCTTGTAGCTAGTCATGTCTCTAATAGTTCTGATAAACAGGAATTCCTGAAAGGGGAAAGAAGGGAATGATGTTGCTATTAGTGCATACCAAACTTCTTTGTCCTGTTATTTATGTAAAGTGGATATCCATGTTTTATGAGAGAGAGGAGAAGAGAGGAGAGGAGAGGAGAGGAGAGGAGAGGAGAGAAAGGAGGAGGAGGAAAAGAAGCAAGAAGGAAGAATAAGAAGGGAGAGGAGGAGAGAGAAGGGAGGGTAGGGGAGAGAGAAATGGGGCTAGTGAAGAAGAAAGAGGCTGAGAGGGGAAAGGTTGGTGAGAAGATAGAAGGAGGAAGCGGAAAAGAAGACAGGAAGGAGAGAAAAAGATGACAGGAAGGGGAAGAGAGTAAAAGGAGATAGGGATGGGAGGCATAAAGAAAAGGATTGGAGGGGAGAAAAGAGGAAGGGGGTGGTCAAAGTTTCCCAATGATTATTATCACATTGTTGGGGTGGAGGAAGGTGACAGAAAAAAAATGCTATCCCTATAGTAGAATGTGTTGCCTTTTTGAGAGCTAAGCTACTGCAAGAAATCTTTATAGTTAACTACTTTGGGTTAACCTTAATAGACCAAAATTAAAAATGGCCACTCTACAGAAAATTTAGATTTTTTTAAATGTCTAAATGAAAGAACAATAAAGACATTGTTTTATTACTGAAGACCAATTTCCCTCACATATATTTAAATTTTGCTTTTGTATAAGTGATTCAAATACCTTCTAAATCCTCAGATTATATCCATCTAAATGAGTTTTTACTAAACTAATTGACACAACAGTCAACCTCAATAAAAAAAAGCACAAAATAGAGAAATCCAGTAAATAATGTAAATGTACATAATGCACTGCTTCCATCTCTTAAAACATTTCCTTAAAACATGTGGTAAATGGAAACATTTCATTTGGGGAAAATCTTTTAAAAACAAAAGTACAAAAAAACCAACATCAACAAAGTCATTGTGGGAAAAGTTTGGTAGGAGTAAAGGAAACAAATTATTACCTTCAAACAAAATTTTAACTATTTGAACATTTTTGTCAGAAAAAAAAATTGTATGTTCCAACTCCAAAACTGAATCTGTAGATCCAGGCTTTCAAACTGTCTTCCTTGTATTTAAATTACTTAGAGATTCTTAAGAGGGGTCACCGATGCCTACCATCTATTGTTTTTTATTAAGGGTGTGTTAACCCTTCTTGACAGATTAGAATCACAAATCATCTATCTCATTTTTTTAGGATAATGACTGAACATTAGTCACGATTTTCAAAACACACAAAAACACAAGCTTTCACTTCAAAGGGAGTTCACCAGTTCTCACTAAGTGAAAATTAAAATGTCATGGTGCTTCACTCGCATAGACTATTCAAACATTTGATAGACAAGCTAAATAAAAAGAGAATAAAGTCACGAACTAAACCAAGACAAAAGGAGGTCTTATAATGGTTGAAATGTTGTGGCAACATTCCTCAGAGCAGACTTCAGACCACACAGCACTGCACTCTTTAAACAGAAGTCTTCTCATAAGAAAACTTAAGCTGTATACAAAGCTAGAGAAGACTGAACATGCTAGTAAAAATTAGTGAACATGTGAAATTGTTACTAGCATGTGAAATGGGAATAAAAGGCATCCTATTATCTGTACTCTATAATTTGATTAATTTATTTTATTAATTTATCCACTTATGTCTTATCATTAATCCTTCCACCTAAGTCTTAACATTTTAAACATATTATGTTTAAGGAATTGTTAAATTTATGGGGACACAGCTCAGCAAAGATAATCTGAGACATTTAAGTGTAAAATTTAAGAACAAGTGAGTGTGTGTGATTTGCATTAAAAAGAATTCAAGCAGAAGTTCATGTAAACATACTGTGTAGACAGCAAGGATGGCTGAGACCGACTTCACTTTATTGATAAGGATGCTAAATATAGAGAGATTTGGCACTCAAACACTATGGTCAGCGGAAGACTCCAAAATAATCTTTGACTCAATATAAAAATGTAGTTTAATCTACACATACCTTTTTAAAACACCTAAAGCAAGAACTGCCTGTCATTGATCTTACCTGTCATGACTGAAGCAAAAGGCTGCTGAGGATCAAAAGGACATTTCAGTCTGCCAGACTCCAAATTGTGTGTGTCGAGTTTGAACATAACTTCCTGTTATGAGAAATATTAACACAAGTGAGATTTCTTAAAATATCAGAATCAGCAAGAACCTAGGAGATAAGAACTAATATCTAACTAATTAATTCAACAAAAACTGATTGAGCATATACAGCATGTGCATCATGCTGTGCTCCTTAACTCTTTAGCAAATATTATTACTGGCAAGACTCCATCTCCATGTTTTGGTCTCTGCTTGTCCAAGTAATAATAATAATAATGGAATGGATTTTTCTGTCAGAAGTACTAATATACTCATAAATTTATGTAGTCTGGACCACTATCATTATCAATATCACCATCAAACACACATATTTTTTAAGTGTAATAAGTAATTTGTTGAGCTTAGCAAGTCAATTTCCTCCACTATGAGATAAATTTACTATAAT